TGATGTGCAGAGTGAGCATGCTGCCACCTGGACCACTTCATCATCAAGACACTTAACCACGTTCTGCACACAGTACAACAACATCTGTTAGTGGTTTCAAAAACCCCATCCACCAGTCTGCCCCTGACAAGATTTAATATGAAATGAAAGGCAGTCTTCATGATCCAGACACTTTCAGACACGATGAAATGAGGTGAGTAAAAATAATAAAAGTACTGGTTGCACAACTATTTGAAGTATGAAAGTAAAAGTAATATATTCTAAGCAAAAAGGTCCAACAAAGAAAAACCCACGCCATGACTACAATATTGTTATATGAATATGTTGAAAACTTTGGCATACACTAGAAAACTCTTTCAGCAGCAGAAATGATTTGAAAATTGATCAATTTTTGGTGCAATGCTAAAACACTAAAGAGCAAGTCACCCACTACCAGAGTTGTACTCCGTCCACTCTTCCTGTTTGAAAAATGCACCAAAAGAAGTCGTCGTCTGGTGGACCAAGAGGGCAGCACTGCGGCAGTGACTGAACAATACAAAACCCCGCTTCTAACAAGCTACTAACAACTGTGCGCACGCACGCACACACACACACACACACACACACACACACACACACACACACACACACACACCACTTGGATGGAGAAACAGCAACATGCATCATAGTCTGGAGGATTTCTCTCTACCTCCTTCACCAGAGGAAAGGGAGGAGGACTTTTTTTTAAGAGACAAGCAACCCTGAGCCGTATCGTTTTGTATCAACTCAAGAGTGGCCTAGCCAGCTGGGGGCGTGGTCAAGACTCAGTAGTGCAGCCACGTCATACGGTACCACTTGGCAATGGCTGATTCAATTTCAAATGTGGAGCAGATTTTTAACCTGGGGGGGGGGGGGGGGGGGGGGGGCACAATAACAGTTTTAGGCAGAATATTTATATTTTAGATCAGATGCATTAAAATGCCACTCGTGTATTCTGTTAATCAGCAAAAAACGTTGATTTGATGGTGACTTGTGAGAACGTGTGTTTGAATTGATGAATGATTCAAAGCCGTGTCATCAATAATCTATTGGAATATAAATATTAATCCAACAGATACAAGAATCTGTGAAGTCAACAGGTGATAAAACTGGATATCTGGACAGCTTAGTAACTATTGTACTTGTATGGTTGTCATTAAGTAAATAAAAACAAATTAATTTCCTGGTTGGACTGTGATGAGGTTTGTGTTGTGTGTGAAATGGGTTGAGTACAAACCAAGATGTCAGATCAGTACCTGGATGGTGCAATTTATCTAGATAGGTTTTTTTGTCTTTGAGTTTTTATGAAAAGCTGGAATGAAATAGGAGCAGAGGCTGCTTTTAAAATGTAAGGAGTAGAAGGAAAAAGTCAGCTATAGGTAATCACTCCAGTATAGATACCCACAGTTTCTACGAATGCCAAGTAACAAAGTATTTGTACTTTGTTACTTGACACCTTTAATTTTAATTTAATTTATTAGCTCTAGGTCATCATTGTCAAACGGCTTGTGTCTCGTCAGCGCTGGGCAACATCAGTCCAACTCTGACCGGAGGGAGGCAGTTGGAAAATTACAGGCACTCAAGAGTTCGAGAGGATTTTGAAATGTTGCAAAAAATGTTTGGAGAATAAGTTCATTTTATGTCAAAGAAGCTGAGTCCAGATCTGTCAATCAGTAACTAAATATAAAATGATTTATCTGGAAACAGTTTGGTGGTTTTGGGTGATCTGGATCAGAACGGTGGCTGAAAGCATCACCCTTTCATTTCTTCTGCTAGTAAATATTAAGTGGATTTTTACATTTTTATACTAAATGTCATGTTTTTACTTTTAGTTGAGTATTCCAACACTAGTGTGAGCTCAGACAACAGACAGACAGTCATGAGTCATTCCAGGAGAAAAAAGAGAGAGGGAGTCTGTCTGTTTCTGGGGAGGGAGGTGTGTAAACAGGGTATCTGGAAAGCAGGAAAGGAGGCAAAGATGGAGGGTGCTGCTGCGTTTAGATGGCCATGACTCACTTTTAATCGCTTACAAGCTCAAAATATCTGCAAACATGAGCGCAAACACACAGTCACATACTGATGTTTCCCAGGCCCATCATGCCGCTGCCACACTTCTGTTTTATTTGCAGTTATTTTTATTCTGTTGCTGAATCATTGTGTTTATGAGTCACACCCATGAATCATCCTGATCCAAGAGAATTTGCAAAAGCAGCAACGGCTCATGTTCTCAATCTTTCTGCTACATATTTCTGTTCACTGCAGACAAAGAAGGCTTGTTTTTTTCTCTCGTGTGTGTGTGTGTGTGTGTGTGTGTGTGTGTGTGTGTGTGTGTGTGTGTGTGTGTGTGTGTGTGTGTGTGTGTGTGTGTGTGTGTGTGTGTGTGTGTGTGTGTGTGTGTGTGTGTGTGTGTGTGTGTGTGTGCGCGTATCCACATGTGTTGCGTGCATATATTTGTGTGTCTTTGTGGGCAAAACCTTAACTTCTGTTTAACATAATCCTGACTCACCACCTCTCTCTCTCTCTCTCTCTCTCTCTCTCTCTCTCTCTCTCTCTCTCTCTCTCTCTCTCTCTCTCTCTCTCTTCTCTCTTTCTCTCTCTCTCTCTCTCTCTCTCTCTCTCTCTGTATGCCTGCCAGATCCGCCTATGTGCTGTACCCCCCCCCCCCCCCCCCACACACACACACACACACACACTCACATGCACACACACCCTAAACTCATAAGAAGTATGAATTTCTCAACTTCTCTCAATGCCCCAGGGCACAACTCTAAACTAAAGGGGAATAATAATAAAAATGTGCGCAGAAACCTTCCTTTTTATAAAGTCATTTTTTTCTGAGCTGTGTATCTTGGCCAGCTTAAAATGTTACAACACACAATCATCCTAAAAACCAGCAGAGAAGGAAAAGTAGAATAAATTGAACAGAGAAAGAAAAGATGTCCTTTGTTAAGAGATAAAAATTAAAGATAATATTTTTTAACCATTAGAGACATTACAGAAGGAATTATGACCACTTCTTTTAGGTTTGCACATGCATGCACATCTACACACTTTCACTTTCTCACTGGCCCTACAGCATGTCAAACATCTGGAGCTAAGTTAGAAAATGCTGAATGAAAGAATCTTAAATAATTCTGGATTGTTGTACGACCGTAACCAATGGCAAATCAAAGCAGGCCTGCATGAGTTATACATCTCTGGCTGATTATCCAATCTATAACTTTTATTTGTTTGTTTATTAATGTTCTAGAGGTTTTGCACCATACCCTGCTCTGTTAAGGCACACCATATGTCTTATACCACAATTTCAATCTAAAAAAAAGAAACTATTCAAGGCCATAAAATGCTTTTATTCCCATTTGGTTCCTGTTTTCATGTGGCACTGCTTATCTTCCTAAACTGATAATTCTCTGTGGCGCTTGGGGTTGAGTATTCAGGTCACTGAGCCAAAATCAGATGCTTCTAAAAACCAAATTCTTAAAGGTAATGTCTGATTCTCAGGTTTTAATGTATTTGTAGACAATAACTCTTGTCCTGCTGTCTTTTTGTGCTGCAATTGTTGCTGCACTGGTCTCTAGTTTTGCAAGTGTCTAGACAAGTAGAATCAGAGGTCAGCTTAGGAAACACTCACTGGCTTTTCCAACCCGATTGTTTCTTTGGATGGTTTTTCTAAGAGGACTCAGTTTCCAGAATCAAAATGTTCAGGTTCATCAGGAATTTAAAGCCTATTCTGTTAAAGTTTGTTATGTTAAATTAGAATTGTCCAAAATCAATATCAAGGGGTCAGAGCTGTAAGAAAATCGGCACCGGCTGTCAAAACATAACTGGTGCAACATTGAAAATTAATCAAATATTAAATAATTCAGACAGAAACATAAATAGGGCTGCACGGTGGCACAGTTGTTCTGGCTCGCAGAAAGAAGGTTGAAGGTTAAAAACTTGGCTGCGGCCTTTCTGCGTGGAGTTGCATGCTCTCCCCATGCGTGTGTGGGTTTCCTCCAGGTACCGCGGTCTCCCCCACAGATCACAACATGCCCTGTAGATTCACAATTGCACGTCGTTTTGGATAAAAGTGTTTGCCAAATAAATAAACATAAATAGTTAGAAAAAATGTCTTAAAGCAACGCTTAACAAGTTTCCCGCTTCTCCCTGGAGATTGAAAACATAAATGCAACTGTCGTAAACAACCTTGCCACTGCTTGCTGTAGCTAGCTCTAAAAACACGCTAATGCTAACGCAAGCCAACTGATACTTAAGGCATGAAGTAAAGATCCACACTCAATTACTTGTTTTTTCTAAAACCCAGCGTAGATTTGTTTTTACCATTTAAGCTGACAAGTTTCAGCTAACACTGTAGTCGTTCTCAGAGCCGCGATCGACTACAGGAAGGCTACAGTGTTAGCCGAAAATCGTCAGCTTAAAACAAATCTACTACGCTGGGATTTAGAGAGAAAAAATTCATGGAATTTAACAGATCACACAGAAGGAACATACAAAAGATCCACTCCATTGGACAAAAAATATTATTACGTACAAATCCAGTAGCAACAAAGCCAGCTCATCATCAGTCTGGGGATTTCGTAGCGCCCTTTAGAGTCCTCAAACGAGTGTATGCCACGCTGATGTTCACTTTGGTTTTAGTGCTTAGCTTCACCTCCACCTCACCTCCTTTAAATTCCAGGATCCACCATGATGTGAACAAAAAAGTGAACGTCTTCTTGTGCTTTTTATTGATGGTCAGATTAATTGAAAGCTAATTGCTCGCCTTTATATGATTCACTGCCACGGTAAACAGCTATTGCCGTAAAGCAGGTAGAGACTTCCCATGCAGAGTGCTACAGTGTTGTCCCATGTGAAGGAACTCAAGTTTCTGGCTCAAGAACCACTGAAACCAGTTTAAAAGCAACAGCTTAAAGTGTTTACACTATTAAAAAGTCTTGCTTTAATCCTGAAAGTGAGTTTTTGTTGTTTATATTTTTCAGCTCAGCCAGCAGCCAGATCCACTTCCTTCCACCACACAGATCCATGCCGGTCGCAGCCCGGCAGCCTGCTTCGCAACGGATCCAAGAGCCACGAACACACACACACCCCTCACACACAAAGTCCTCAACAAACGCCTCACCTGCATTCTCTTCAATCCCATTCTGTCAGAAACGGGGGAGCTCACAGGCACCCCAAGCTGGGCTCGCTCCCAAAGGGGAGCTCATCCACCTCCTCCTCATCTTCAGCGGGACCCAAGCACAGCAAGAAACTCCAGTCGAACCCCTCCATCACGTCACAGAGCAGCAAGAGGAGTAAGAGCAGTTCAAAGAGCAACAGCTCCCAGATTCCCACCGATGGACAGGACGGTGAGATACAAATACAGATACCGCCGGAGAACAGGAGGAAAAACAGCCTCATCCCTCTTTGAGGCTAGAAAATCCTCTTTTTTTGTTTATTGTTCAATGTAACATTGCCTTTTGTATAATGCTAAAGCACATCCCGCCTGCCTCTGCTTTTTCACCCAGACTGCTGTGTTCACTGTATCCTGGCCTGCCTATTCTGTGAGTTCCTAACTCTGTGCAACATCGTGCTGGACTGCGCCACCTGCGGCTCCTGTGCAGGCGACGACTCCTGTTTCTGCTGCTGCTGTGTGACAGAGGAGTGCGGTGACTGTGACCTGCCCTGTGACATGGACTGTGGCATCATTGACGCCTGCTGCGAGTCTGCGGACTGCTTGGAGATCTGTATGGAGTGCTGCAGCCTTTGCTTCTCCTCCTGAGGTCTTTCTGAGGCACCACCGAGTGGCGGTCAAGCATCCAAAGGCCCCAAAACAGACACTCAGTAAATCAGCTTCTTACCTGACATAAGAATAGCTGTGTTCCCTATTCACTTAATACCAGCTGGCTCTGCGTTGTGTCCAGTGCGTCCTACAGGTTTACCAAGTAAAAGTTGTGGCAAGTTACTTCTTTTATTGATCAGAATACAGTAACTTTTCATTTCGTGCTCTGGCTTGGCAGTTGGTTTGTGCTGCAGAGGGAATTCCTGCACTGATCTGCAGACTGAGCTTCTGGACCCACTCAGAACCAGCTATTATTACGATGGAAGCCCCAGTGCCATCTAAATTACTGGAGTTCTTCAAGCATGCAAAATGACCTCTAAACGCAAATGAGAAAATGGCTCCATTTAACCGGATTTTAGTGTTTCTGTAGATAAGAGCAGCAGAATAATGGGAAAACGGTCGCTCAGATCTCAGTAGAAGCATAGTATGTCCTCCTGTCCTTGGCAAGGTTAAAGTCTTCCATTCTGATTGAACACAGTGGCCTTTATTATGTTAAAACACATAAAGTGGGAGATTCTGAATCTGTCTTTGTCCTTGTTGCATTGTACAAAACAGGAAACAGAAAAGTGGCTTGTGGCAATACTAGATTTATTTTTTGTTATGCGTCTTTCTGCACAGATTCACAGCAATGGACACAGTTTTTACTCTGACATGTGAAGGGAGAGCTTTCTTCCAGATTTCTCCTCATTTATTTTTCAAAATTTGTTTACTTTTACATTTTATTGAGAGTCTTTGACCGTTTTCAGCAGATTTTTGTTTTTTGCTCGTCTAGTAAAGGAACTAAAAGCCATCATCTCCATCTTTTTTAAATATAATCCTCCCATTCTCTGGGTGGGAAGAAATGGTTTCGGCTAAAGCTTTAAGTCTTGATATTTCCAGCAGGTTTCTCGCCGTTCACCAAATCTCCATTAATCCTTGTTTTGTAGATTTTAGTTAAGATATTTGCATTTCTCCTCTAAATGTGAAAAATCACATTTCTGTGTTATCAGGTTTCGCTAGGCTCTCTGTAAAGCAGACGTTGCTCAGCATTGAATTTAATTCCTTAAGTGAGAATCTCGTGAAATTATGCTAAGCTAGATCCACGCTTGCCATATGAATGGTACAGTCTTGATAAGAGGCCCAAACTCTCATATGCTATGGCGCACACCTTCATTTCCCCTTAAACCAGTACCCCTTGAGATGTCGCATAGATCAGTTGTGCATTTTAAAGTGACTTGATACAAATCTTTTTCCTTCGATTAAATTACTTTAGAGAAATCCTTTTTATTCAAAATGCTCTTCACTCTTTCCAGACTTTAGTTTTTATACCTTTGTGCATAAATGTAATGCGCTACACTATTGAGGGTTGCAGTTTAGCACATCAGATGAAAATAGAGCACTCACTTAGTTCTCAACTTGATGGCACCAAAACACAACATGCATGATGTAATTTGCTGCTTTACAGTCACATAATTCAAAGATTTACTGTTAAATACGAGTCAACCCGGAAGAGTTTGGAGTTTTAGGAAACTGGTTTAAACTGAATCCTGGACAGTGCTGGAAGACATGCAGCTCTGGAAAAATGCATGAAAATATGAGTGACATTTGTTTGTGCGTGCAAAAGTGCAAATAATAGTTGTGATGCTCCTGTTACGGACCGGTTCTCCGTCACCAGACTGGGAGTGAATTGTGATAAATGTCTCTGGTGTGTGCAAAGTCATCTCATGTGCACGAGAAAACAAAACAAAATTGGTTTCCCTAACAACATTCTCTGCAAATTAGATGACAGATATTTAAAAAATATCGTTTGTGTCACAAGATCTCTGTTAATGCTTTCATATAAGGCTGAAGGTTGCACATTTCAAAATAAAATCAGTAGAAACTACCATGGAATACTCATGTCTGACAACTGTTTGACATTATAAATGGTTTAGCTTGTCTTTAATACAAGAAGCAGACTTGACTTGGTCTAGTGATGGAGAGCAATTTCTAGATATAAGGACTTTATTGTTTTTATTAAAGCCACCACCATCTCTAAATGTTACCCCTGTATTAATTCAAGGTTTTGATACTGGAAAAGGACGAGTATATTCTCAGATATACCTAATCAGTATTATTAGTGTTTTGTTAAATCTGCATACACCTTTGACTGTTTTTGGACTTTTGTTATTTTTGAGTGGAATTGGTAAATCGGTGCGAATAGCTGGCTGCTTATAAAAGTCACCTGAAAGACCCAGCAGAGACTCCAGTCCACTGTAATGTCGTTCTGTTTACATTACCCAGATTTAGTTTGAGTTACTGTCCTGGAAGTCACATTCAGATTTCTTTGTTTAATACTGAATAAACAATGTGAACTCCACACTCTCCCTTATGATTTTTTATGATATGAAGTTGTTGCATGAAATGCTTTTGATTATAACAAGACTCGGTTTTTAAAGTTTTTTTTTCTGATTATAATCAGTCACTCTGAGTTTCTCATGCAGGCCGAACATGGAAATAGTCTTCTACACCTATCTCCTGCATTAGCTGATAGAAAACAGACAGTGAAAATCTCAGATTTAAAATTGAATTAGCGTTCACCAATCTCACAAAAAGGAAGGCTGGAATCAGAAACGGACGCCTCGGCTAGTTTAAGCTAGCTAGCATTAGCGCCTTCACCACATGACAGAGTCCCCTTCAGGCTTGTGTTCTCTGTGAAGATAACAGCATCCACGTTGCAAGTCAGTGGTAGAGTTACGTTGCTGTCATCCAATCTGAGGTGAGATGTTGAAATATCGGAAAAATAAAGCCTGGGGCACACTGGAGGAGGATGCACCGCGCAGCGTCACGCCCGAGATTTTGAGAAGCCAAGTGGTCACACAGGACATGTCGCGCCGCTGAGCGCTTCTCGGAAAGTCATGCAATAGTCGCAACATCACGCGGGACTTGAGAACAGGAAGCGGGAAGTGACTATTTATACATGATCAGACTTTCCGTCGTGTTTTGTGAGACTTTAATTAATTAAAAATGGGTAAGTTTGCTATTTATTAGAAAATTTTAGGATCAATAGTACTTTAAAGTTATCAAAACTGCGACTGAGTTTGCGCTGTAAAGCCGTTACGCATCGTAATGTCTATTGTAAAGTACTCCACAATGTCGTGGCACCGCCGGCACTATGTGGCGCGGTGTGTCCGACCCCGATGTGCCCCAGGCTTAAGACTCCAAAATGTGCCGTCTGAAGCTCAGCTGTGATGTGTGTATCTTGCAGGTCTGAGAAATGGTGCACCGGTACATGTTTCGCCCTAAGAATGATTCACAAGGCATTCATTCCTACAGACCACAGCAAATACATTGATTAAACAAGTCAACCAGTCCTTGAAATGTAAATACTAAGTTAAACGTTAATATTTTTAAAAAGTGTAAAGTCCTTTTTAAAGCATAGCAAAGACCCTTTAAGACACTTTAAGCTACTGCTTCTAAACTGGTTTCAGTGGTTTTTGAGCTGGAAACTTGAGCAACGACTTATTGGACACCACTCTGTAACCGTCTGCTGAACAGAAACTGCACCTAATGAGCAAGTCTCCCCAAACCGACTGTTTTTGCTGATAAACTGTATAAATGAGTGTCTAATCATGCTGTGGAAGTGTGTAGTGGCATCTTAGTGTATACTATTTGAATTTTAAAAAGTCAGCCTAAAACCATAATTGTTGCTCCTTCGGGTTAAAACTCTCCACTACAGTGAATTTGAATCACGCATCATTATTGCTTGAGAGATGTCCAGTGACCGTGTCAGTACCATATTACGTGGCTGCACAAATAAGCAAATATTAAAAATAAACTTCTGATTCAGGTTTCCATCTGACAATCTGTAACTCAGCTCTTAAGTTTGTAAATAAAGTCCCGTTCAGGGTGCTCCTCCTGTTTGTTGGTCTCGTTGAACGAAGGGAGAGAAAAAAAGTTTTAATATTCATCACTTAGTTCAACATGCAACAACACAACAACAACACCCACTTATGATGATCATTTGGTGCTCTTTTATTTTAAACTTGTCAAACATGGTATTGATACAGTACATTAGATTACAGCCTCATGCTGCCCCTGAGCTCTTTAGCACCCCCTATGTTTTAAATCACTGACCTGCAACATGGTGCATCAATAAATCCCAGAAATTACCTATCAGTGTCCTCCCTGCTGAGAGAAAATCCTTCTGCTGTTGTTTAATCAGGTCATCAATACATCAGAGAGTTATTTTTATTTGACAAAACTCTCTTTTTTCATTTCAGTCTTCTGTTTTTGTATGTTACACGGCTGTAATCTCTGTCTCAGTTCTTGTGTGTGCGTGCGTGCGTGCGTGTGTGCGTGTGTGTGTATGCGTGTGTGTGTGTGCGTGCTTGCTTGCTTGCTTGCTTGCGTGCGTGCGTGCGTGCGTGCGTGTGTGTGTGTTGTCCACAGGGTGTGAGATGTCTAGAAGCCTCTGTTTCATATCGACTGTGGGTTGAGTTCTCATACAAAAGGTTTGGAGTATAGCCCTGAGGCAACTGTGAGTGTGTGTGTGTGTGTGTGTGTGTGTGTGTGTGTGTGTGTGTGTGTGTGTGTGTGTGTGTGTGCGTGCGCGCGCGTGCGTGCGTGCGTGCGTGCGTGAGAGAGAGAGAGAGAGAGAGAGAGAGAGCTGCAGTGCAACTGAGTCAGGTCAGACAGAGAGACGATTCAAGCATCTTGGTGGGAGTAGAGACACAGAGGACGTCTCTGGACATCTGCAACTGTTTTACAGGGACCCATTCTCCAGTCGGTCTTTATTTCCTTTTCCAAAACACACACACACACGCACGCAAACACACACACACACACACACACACACACACACACACACACACACACACACACACACACACACACACACACACACACACACGCACGCACACACACACATGCACAAACACATACACAAATCAAAAATGATCCACTTCTCCCTTCAGACATTTCACAAGCCCAAAGCAGACACAGGGGACAAGTGGCTATTGAATATTAAGCATGAAATTACAAAGGCTGCATTCTAATGGAGGTGATGAGGTCAGAAGCTGGGATGGGAATCATAAATTAATACCCCTGACACGACAAGCCACTCGCCCTTGGCTCCTGCCAAACCTTCCTCCACTGAAGTCAGAAAGACACCGAAAGAAGGAAATCCTCAATTTATTATTAATAGTGGGTCAAAGGATTGCCAAAACAGACATGGAACTCTTCCAGCGTGCCAGATATTTTTCTGATGTGATTATTGTATGAAGAGACAACCGTGTAACCTTCTGGTGTGGCTACATCTGTAGGGGTTATTGTTCAGCCTTCTTATGGCTCTTTTATTACACAGTCGGCTATTGTGTCTCACTCTGAAATCTTCTCAGTTCTGTACATATCACCAGTCTCACACAGGCAGCACATTTCAAGATGGGTGATAGAACATCTGGCTGCAGAGATTTGAAATGAAATTTGTGAAACATTCACGTGTATCTGAGCTAAAAATTGAAACACATCTAGGAACACGTGTCGTCGTCGTCGTCTTCCTCCGCTTATCCGGGTCCGGGTCGCGGGGGCAGCATCCCAACTTGGGAGCTCCAGACCGTCCTCAACCCGGCCACCTCCACCAGCTCCTCCGGCAGGACCCCAAGGCGTTCCCGGACCAGATTGGAGATGTAACCTCTCCAACGTGTCCTGGGTCGACCCGGGGGCCTCCTGCCAGCAGGACATGCCCGAAACACCTCCCCAGGGAGACGTCCAGGAGGCATCCTGACCAGATGCCCAAACCACCTCAACTGACTCCTTTCGATCCGGAGGAGCAGCGGTTCTACTCCGAGTCGCTCCTGAATGTCTGAGCTTCTCACCCTATCTCTAAGGCTGAGCCCGGCCACCCTACGGAGGAAACTCATTTTGGCCGCTTGTATTCGCGATCTCGTTCTTTCGGTCATTACCCAAAGCTCATGACCATAGGTGAGGATTGGGACGTAGATCGACCAGTAAATCGAGAGCCTGGCTTTCTGGCTCAGCTCCCTCTTCAACACGACAGATCGGCTCAGCGTGCGCATCACTGCAGACGCCGAACCAATCCGCCTGTCGATCTCAACACATGTGGATTATTTAAAACTATTTTTTATGCATTTCATTGCAGAGCTTCTGTTCTCCAACAATACAACATTGCAGCAAGAAAAGAAAAAGAAAATCAGAAGACTGACTTGTTTAATCAGAAATCAACACAGGAAAGACATTTTGCCCAACATTCTGCCTGGCCAAAAAATAAAGTCACCACCAAGAAAAAAGGTCACATACTCTAATATTTTGTTGGCTCGCCTTTAGCTTAGACTACAGCACCCATTCGCTGTGGTGTTGCTTCAATCAATGTCTCCAGTGTCACCAGATTTATTTCCTTGCAATGTTGCATTAATGTTTCATCAAGATCTTGCATTGATGATGGTAGAGTCTGCACAACGCCTTCTCCAGCACATCCCAATGATTCTCAGTGGGGTTAAGTTCTGGACTCTGTGGTGGCCAATTTGTTAGGGTTTTTTTAATAGTTCACTCATCTTAAATGTTCTTTTTAAGTGTTTGGGCCCTGAAATGTCTAATGAGAGATCAATTTTGCTCTGTCTCAGTGGGGGATGTTAGGTTCTAGCAGTCACCCATGTAACTTGAGACTTCCTTTTTAGAAGGTCCCGCCTTAGGTAGAAGCAACGCCGTTATTGGTTAGCGTAGGACATGATGAATAGGTCTTTGTCCTCAGTTTGTCTCTAAAAAAAGTGCTGTGGTGGGAGTGGACTGCAGAGTTAGGAAGCAATGTTCTGATCACGCTCTCCACTCTCCGCTGCAGCGCATTAAACCTACCAATCTTCTCTGGTGTGTGTTCTTTGGTAAAATATAGCTAACACAATCCATGTATGAAAATGATGTCTCGTGCTCCCTGAACCACTCTTTCACAATTTAACATCTTTTCCATGACCACCAGATGTGTGTTTCCACATGAAATGAGTAGCAATGAGAAGCAGCTCATTGCACAAGTTGGGGTTAAATAACGTATTGCCAGCTGAAAGATAAACACCGTTGCAGTAATTATTCAATAAGAGACTCGTACCTATTTGCTTCGTTAAATCCAGGTGGGGACTATTTTTTTTGGGGGGGGGGGGCAGTGTATATACACACAAGTTAAGTTGAAGTTTATAAAATAGGCATTAATTTTGTTTTTGACTTTGTGCTGTTCTGTCAGCTGCTGTCCCAAAAAGTCCCAATGACTTTTAAACCACCATTTCCAAATTTTAACATTTTTCAGATGAATCCAAAGGTACACGTTGCTCTAACCTCTACTAAAGATTGAGCTTTTTGTTCTACCTTTGGATT